TCATACTTAGTATAAGTACAATANATATATATACTTATTATATATATATATATATATATATATATATATATATATATATATTATTAGAATTAAAGAAATGTAAACGTAATGAAAGCAATGGGCTGAAAAAGGCGCACGTGGTCTAAAGGGAATCGAAGCTTTGAAATGCCATAAGCCACCGTTTTGACCATTGAAAAACCAGAGGACCTCAAATCCCATTTATTCCATGCAACCCCTCGTACCAATGAACCCATCTTTGAGACCACGATTTGAAGAGCCGCCGCCCCATTCATAGACCAAACAAATTCCTAGCCGTCCGATCATGCTTTACATGGCACATTCTCTTGTTTGGCCCTTTTTAAACCCATGGACACCAGGTATAGACATTGTCTTTCTAGAAACATGACATCTAGGGAGGAGAAGAATGAAGAAGTGGGCGAGAGAGAGCAAGGAGCTCATTATCGGGGTGTTAGGCGGCGTCCATGGGGGAAATATGCGGCTGAGATTCGAGATTCTAATCGACACGGGGCGAGAGTGTGGCTTGGGACCTTCGACACCGCGGAGGAGGCAGCCCGAGCCTATGATCGCGCCGCTTATGCAATGAGGGGTTCCTTAGCAATTCTCAACTTCCCTCGAGAGATTCATGCAAGACCACCCACTGGATCCTCCTCTTCATCTTCTACCTCACACTCTGGTTCTTCTTCTTCTTCAGTTGGTGGAAATCCTACCAGTTCTACCAAGAAAGAGGTTATAGAGTTCGAGTATTTGGATGATAGTTACCTCGAGGAGCTTCTTCGATCTGGTGAGGAGAAGGATCGCAGAGGGAAATAAATCTTTTCCTGAAGAATGCTAATAGAAATGGCCAAACATGTGGTCTTCATGTTTTTATTAATAGACAGTTATAACACCTTGTTATAGGTTTGGTGTGGCTTTTCAGTGAAAGGAAGATGTGTTTGATTGCTAGATATGAACTCACTGGTTTGAAATGAACTTTGAATTAATGCCACTATTTGATCGCATAAGTGCTAAGCTTCAGCCGAAGAGGCCGAATCAGATCGAAACGGCCTGTAAAATGCCGAAGCATATGCACTCGAGCTTTGCTTCGCTGTGATTTAGGCCGAAATTATGAAGACTTTGGCCTCTTCGGCCGAAGCCAAGCCAATCTAATGACATTGGCGCTAACTGCTAACTAAATGCTGAATGAAAAAATGATAAACTACTAAAAGTTTTTCTAGTGCAAGTGTGGGTCACACACTATGGATGAAATAGACTTAAATTGGGGAAAAGATGTAAATTGCCAATGCCTCAACTTGGGCAGTTGTGTTTTTGTGTTTCTAAATAATTGTGAGGAAAGTTTTTGAAAGGGACCTCATAACTTTTACAAGCATAAAAATCATAAAAAGGAAAGAAATTGGCATGAACTTCCTTTCTTTGGGCTTAATTAGTGGATACAGCTTTCTAGAAACTTCGTCTTGTCTACAATAGATGGCTGAGATGAAAAATTACTCTGCTCCAAGTTGCAAGATTTGGCTACAAGAGAAGATCTTGGCAATAAATGGTTGTAGGGGGGCGGGGGCGGGGGTCATGTATCATACTATTTGTAATCTACACGTATCATAGTATACTATCTCCTTATTAAATTTGCTTTGGATGAGCAGCCCTACTTTTGACTGCATCATAGACAGCAGGGCTATCCAATCTAACTGTAAGTGTATTTGTAATAGAACGGTGGGTGCTATGTGAGTGCGTGTCTTTATGTTTGGTTTAAATCATGGTTATGAGATTTGGCCGAGTAATTGGTCCGGCCCGATGAGTTTATTTATAATGCAGTAAATTTAAGCCATGTATGTTTGAATAGCTCCGTGGTTAGTCCTATGCAAATGTTACCCCACATCAAGGTTCTACCAGCGAACATCATTTTTAAAAAATAATGAGCTGGACTCCGATGAGTTACTTGGAATAGCCCGACTAACTCTCCTCGGTCAAGCTTTGAGTACCTTGGCCAAGTCAATTTTCTAAATACTGACTGAGTCCACTCAAATTTGGCGAAGTAACTTAGCCTCGTAATATAGCCAACGACAGTTTTAGGGGCCAACTTGCCGCTTTCGTGACCGCTCCCACCCCCAGACCCTCTCTCTCTCTCAAAGCAGAGGAGATCTTACGCCGTTTTTTTTCTTCTCTCCCTCTCTCTAAAAAGAGGGGATTCTGCCCCTTCTTCATGTCACTCCGAAAGGGAGCATATCCGCCCCCTTTCATCTCTCTCTCAAAGGGGGGAGCCCCCCCTTTCTCTCTCTCTCTGGCCAAGTAACTCAACTCAGGTCTATGCTGAGTCCATGGCCAGAGCCGAGTTAGAAAACATTGATTTAAGCGGATCAAATAGGTTTCGAACCTTATTGGCATTGGTAGTTACAAAGTCGATTTCCATCAACAAGAGTAGGGGATTTTTCATCAATATTTTTTGTGCATGGTGTTTTTATTTTACTCTTCTGCTTCTTAGTTAAATGCATATCTTCCTCAAATTTCATCTCAAAGAATTCGTAAATAATAATTAAAAACGTTCCATGCACCCTTGCCGTTTAATGCACTTAGATTCGCCGCTTCATATAATATATGATGCGGCCTCAAAAATCTGTTTTAAAGATAGAATATATCCAAATTTTAAAGAAATAATATGGATTATAAATTGCTGGGCTAGATAAAGTCAACCAATGTGAAAGGATGGGTATGAATAAACAAGGGAAAATGTTAAAATTTAGAAAGGATAATTTTTTTTTTGTTGACCAAGGTTACTAAATATTATTGAAAGAAGAGACTACACTAGAAATGATAAATTTTTTAGATTATTTTTACACCATTAATTCAAAAAATGACGCCCATGGAAAGGAAAGTATGAATTGGAGGATCAATGCATTGATCTACATGTCAATCGATAAGTGCCCAATTGTGACTTATGTGGACCAAGGTCATGGTATTCTCCCAAAAAGGAGCAATAGTTTCTAGAAGTTCAGAAATGAATGGTTGGGAATGCAATACATTTGTGGGCCCTCTAAATATTTTAACTATAAATAGGGTTTGAATCAAAAGGCAAAGTATTTCTTCTGAAACAATCACAAACACATTTTTTTTATTATAGATCTACTATAAGAAATTCAATGCATAATCTCACGATTCAATGTATTTCTAATAATCTCATCTTTCAATTTTTCAACTATTTCATTTTACCAAGTTCAATGTCAGTCAGCCAGATTAAGCTAGGTCAAAATGTAATATGTAGGCTCACCTTTTACCAACAATTTAACAAACAGTTCCTCTCTTTAGAAGAAAGCCTCTTCCAATTATTTAACTCAACAAAATTCAATTAATTTACATTTTATTGTTACGGCAATGTCGTGTATCCCCACTTTCTAATTTCAATTATTGGAAGATAAAAATAAAACACATCTTATTATTTAATAAAGTTTTTTAACTAGTCAGTACATTTAATAGTTATAGGCATGTAGCTGTACTACTGATCTCACACTTGGTAATTCCTCGTGTAGAGTAAAAGCACCTCTAATTCTTTAAGGCAACAAAATTCAGATGGACAGTTCACCTAAACTTAATTGCTGTGAAAGTACTATATATATATATATATAAAGAGATATATGCTTACATGATGTGGTCGATGGCATGAATTAATGATCAAACATTGACTAAACAATTTTTGAAAAAATGATATAGCCAAGCCTCTTATGAGCTAAAACAGATTTCTAGTACAAATGTTTTTGGGTTTTTCCTTACCTATTTCTTTTTATTAGTTAAAGAAACACGATTCTAGTCATATCTTTGCTATGAAAAGTAATTATATGCATATATCTAGAGATTTGTCTACAAAGAGATCATTTATCTTTTGTACAAAAAAGTCACAGTCATTCTTGTCCCTTAAATTTAAAAAGGAAAATATCTCCGTACACCCTCTTTCTAGGTTTCATTCTGCACATCCAATGTTTCAAAGCATATCTAGCACATAGAGATCTCATGCATTTTATCTTTTAACCCTTTGGACCAACTTTATCTCATCTTTTTAGCCCAAACAAAAGCTCAAAAGGTATCCTTTTTTTATTCCGTTCTAAACTTCGTTATCTCTCTCTTTCTGTATAAATCTCTAAACATCTCTCCTTTTTGTGCGAGTGTAATTGAAAAGACAGAAAGTTGAAAAAAAAAATTCTCAAACTTCGTGACTCGTCCTAAACTATAAAATTTGACACCTAATGAGTGAGAATAGTTGTGGCCACCTTGCACAAAAGATAATGATCTCTTTACAGATAATCCTGTGTATATATTATAAACAAGACCTGTAGAATCTGACAGCCCTCTCGCCATATCAAGTCTATGCTTTTATTTTATAGATGAAGCATAACCTATCAAGCTCTAATAAACCCTTTAAGTACAACATATGCTTCAATTCTTCTTTGGTTTAGTAGAGTGAAAATATGTAAATAGTACGACATATGCCTGATTAAAAAGCCAAAACTAGCTAGACTCAAACATTACCTTTTAGACATATTATGTTACATCACCTACTAGACTTATTATATTCTCTTTACTCTGTTGAAATTGGGTTCAATTGCAAAATGACCTAAATTTGAAAACACAACCTCCTCAACAAACAGTAATATCTAATTCATCGAAATCCGAACATCAATCCCTGCTGCTCCATATTCTACTGCTCCAATAACCCATATACCCATAGACAGCGAATGTTAAAACTCTCTAACTTTGCCACTGTTATAACACAAACCTTGGGTTGTAGAAGGAGAGTATAAACGTTCAAGGTTATGAAAATGAAAATAGGGGGAGGTCAACATATTTCTTGGAAGTATATAATGAATTTTTTTGAAATGATTGATAACGGCAGTCGCATAGACATATGGAAACACTCCAAGTTCTGGTGGATAAATTTTTGGAAAACAATAGAAAAGCAGGGCAATTAGCAGAGAATTCAAACAAGCACTTAGTGTAATAGTGTGTAATTCAACAAGCACTTGGTGAAATAGTTTGAAGAACAAAGATCTTCCAGTTCCATGCACGACCAAGAGGTTTCTTGAAGACAATATTTGCCTGCAGCTAATAAAAGTTATTCTACATGAAGTTATTTAGACAAAATTTGTCCTCGGGATACAAAGAAATAGAATATCGAATGCTTACCTCATTCAAATTCATAAAAACAATGACATCTCAATGCGATAGGTTGCCTTTCTCTTGAGAGTGAGTAAATTAGAGATTGTCTAAAAACATTTTATGAAAAAAGATAAGTTCGAGAAAGTTCCTTTCATATGGTCAATTGATAACTGAAGAGTTGTTGCGATAGTCATAAAATTATTTTTGGCAATAGCTCAATATCGAACATTTATACCAACTCACTTCCAATCAATTGCAAAATTTAGCCATCCCACAAAGAGTTTGGCTATCACCTCTGCATTCAACATGGAGCTTTTTGAAAGTATTTTTGATGCACTAGCACCCTGGGTTGAATAATAGGGTATGTGTCAGTCACACCTGTGGACTGCGGCAACCCGTACCAATAAGCATGAATTTTGAACAAATTTGAAAAGGTGTTCCCTGGCCCCAAATAGTATTTTAGGGTGGAATTTGATGTTGTAAGAGTGTCTGCCAAATTTCGTCCCAATCCGATAAGGATATAGCAAATCAGGACGAAAATTACATTTTGCAGTGTCGTTCTCTAACATGCCAAAAGTTACCTCATAACTAGAGCTATAATGCCAAGGTCTTAGATGTGTACCAGACTATAACAATTGGATTTAGAAGGCCAAAAAACCCCCAAATTTTTAGCACATTTGGATACTTCTAGACCATTCTAGACCCAACTTATCCAAAACGGGTGGGTTTTACACTATTCCTTTGCAGCCCCAGTGAACCAATTTTCATTTATGAAAATTGCATTTTTTTAAAACGTGAATTCTTTGGGAGGTCATAATCTTTTTGTCCAGAGACCAATCAAGCTCAATTTTCAGTATTGTGTGCATCTCATCAAGACACGTTTTGGTACATGGCATGACTTGAGATAATACCCGGAACAAAAAAAATCTTAGAAGTTTGACAAAAATGCATAAAATGCAGAATTTTTAAGAGAAACATACACTCACTCCCATGGCCTTTTCTCAAAGCCCCAACATCGGATAGCCATAAGTGCGGGTCCGTTGTGACCACTACTCAGAGGGCTTCAATTTGCGGTAAAGCTTGTTTAACATTAAAGGAGGGAATGCACCTTATTTTAGCATGAAGCAAGGCATGATTTTTCAGCACTGGAATTCCATTTCTAGCTACCACCCAAAGAAAATAATCAATCGGCACTCAAATCGAGGGTCTTTCATTACAAAATGATCACAACTCACTTCGATTTGTGATAAAGAAAGTGAAAAAAAACATGGAGAAACGAGCAATATCGAAGAACTAAACTTTCAAGAATATGGGTTTGGCCGGATTTTGGGATCAACCTCAACAGTTCGATTCAAGCTTAATAATGGATATCAAACTGATCGTCTCAAAACGATCATCATTTTTAGGTTGATTGATTGTCCGAAATGCCGCTGTGAAGCACCAAAAAGAGCCCCGAGGCATGGCTATTGCAAGAGGCCCCTCCAAGAGGGATAGTTTTATCATTTTCAAGATTCTGTCCAAGGGAAAAATGATATTATTCATTCTAATGTCTTTTTTTTAGCAAGTTTTGTTGTATGTTGGAAGAAATAAATCTGGAAGAAATAAACCTGGGTGATGAAACAGACCCAACGCCAATTTTCATCTCAACTATCATGTCACCCAATCTAAATGGCCAAGTCACAGTGCACCGACTAGATATTGAAGTCAAGGAGATTTCGAGCTGACCTTGAAATCTAGATTCCGAGATGACCCTGAAATCTAGATTCCAAGCTGACCTTGCAATCAAGGAGATTTCGAGCTGACCTTGAAATCTAGATTGATGCCGAGGTAACTAAGCTCAAGGCAGCCAACTTCATCAAAGAGTTAAATATCCAAGGTGGTTGGCCAATGTGGTGCCGATCTAGAAGAAAAATGGGCAAATCTAGGTTTGCATTGACTTTCGAGACTTGAATGCATCATGTCCGAAAGACGACTTCCCTCTCCCCTATATCGATATGTTTATTGATTAAACGGCCAGTTGGCAAGCCTTTTCCTTTATGGATGGTTATTCTGGGTATAACCAAATAAGGATGGCATGTGAAGATGAAGAAGTTACTGCATTCTTAACCCCCAAAGGAGTCTAATGCCGTCGTTTGGGTTAAAGAACACGGGTGCCATGTACTAACATGACATGACTACCGTCTTCATGATGCACGAAGTGGTGGAGTCTTATGTGGATGACCTAGTAATAAAATCGGGTGAGAGAAGCACCCACATTCAGACCCTTGAGCGAGTCTTTGAATGACATCGACTCCATCAACTCAAGATGAACCCCCTAAAATGTGCCTTTGACATGCGGTCGGGAAAATTTTTGGGACTCATTATCAGGTGTCGAGGTTTGGAGATTGAACCTATCAAAATCAAGGTTATTAAAGAGATGCTAACACCAAGAAATCTTTAAGAACTCCAAACTTGCTTATATTCGAAGATTCATTGCTAAAGAAGGACGTACCCTTCGAATGGGACGAAGCATTCCAGTCGGCCCTCGAAGATATCAAGACCTTCTTACTAAACCCCTCATGTACTCTCAACCCCTATTCCTGGGAAACTCCTCATTCTCTATGTGCCCGCCCTGGATGAGTCACTGGGTGTATTGCTCGTGCAAAACAATGATGATGGAAAAGAGACAGCCTTTTATTACCGCAGTCGAAGGATGCAAGGGGCCGAGGAGGTCTATTCCCCGATCAAGAAAATGTGCTTAGCCTTGATCTTGGCCATTCAAAAACTCTGCCACTACTTACTAGCCCATGAAGTTTGGTTCATTTCACAAGCTGACCCCATCAAGTTTCTCATGACGCTCCCTTACCTATCGGGTCGTCTTGCATAGTGGTTGTTATTACTGATGGAGTTCGACATCACCTATGTGCTGCAAAAAGTTGTCAAAGGCCAGGCCCTAGTGGATTTTCTAGCCACGCATCCCTTACTAACAAATTTTCCCTCGTCCAACAACCTCCCTGATGAAGAAGTCTTCTTCACGCACCTTACGACTTGAAGATGTATTTTGATGGGGCCTTTCAGTCAGAATGAGGTGGTGCTGGGTAGTGTTCTCTACTTCCCAAAATGGTATTGTATCCTTATCCTTCTCCCTTATAGAGGTCGATTCCCATAACGAGGCCGAGTAGCAAGCACTCTTCATAGTCCTTGAAATTGATTCTAACATGAACTTGGAGCATATGGCCATCTTTGGTGGTTCCGAATTGGTAATACAACAACTCAAGGGGATGTACAATGTGAGAAAGAATTGTCTCAAGGTTCACCACAACACTGCCAAATCCCTAATGGCACAGCTTTATGAAGTCTCCCTCGAGCACATCCAGTGAAGGTTAAATTTGCATGCTGACGCTCTCGCGAAGCTTAGCACAACCATACATATTCTATTAAAAGAGCCTACACCAATATGGGTGGCCGAATGGAGACATATCAATCGTGTTGATGAGCTTGACTATGATGATGAGTGGCATTTATTCCCAGAATGTCCGCCTTACCCATTCGGGGCATTGCTTCCCAGATTCCATGGATATCGTAAAGTGCTGAGCGGCCTCATATTTCTGAGCTTAGTGAAAAAGAACCGGAGTTGCCAAATCCCTTGTGTGCTGAGGTGGAGGAGGTGGGGGATTGGTGAGAACCCATATTCGATCCCATATTTGACTTACTCAAGCATAACTATCTCCACAATTACCGTTTCCAACGCAACATACGAAAGATGTCCACCAAGTATGTGTTTCTCAAAGACGATGTCATATTCAGGTGCTCCTTCGATGAAGTCCTCCTCAGATGCATTGATTGGAGAGAGGCCGACCAGGTGCTCGAAGATGTTCATGTCGGAATCTGCAGCCTACATCAATCTGATCCTAAGCTCTATGATCGAATTCGAAGGCTGGGCTATTATTGACCTTCCATGGTCATAGATTCGCTAGCCTATGCTAAGAAATTTCATTTTTCCAAATGCATGCGAGCTTCAATCCATCTGGCCCCAGCCCCCTTCCATCTAATAGTGGTATCATGGCCCTTCTCATAGTGAGGCATGGACATTCTGGAGCCCATTAACCTATCTTCTACCTCGGGGCACATCTTCATCCTTGCTTCAAATGACTATTTCTTTATATGGGCCAAAGCAGTCCCTCTCAAGCAAGTCCCCGGAATTGTGGTGGATAACTGTGTCTACCATCACATTATCTATCGATTCGGTGTCCTTGACCAGATCACTTATGATAATGGTCCCCAATTCTGCAATCACTACGTAGATCACCTGACTAATCAGCTTGATTTCGAATAACAGTACTCGACTATGTACCACCCTTGAGCCAATGGCCTTGCCAAAGCTTTCAACAAGTTCCTTTGCAGCACCCTGCGAAAGTCGTTCTCCAAGCTAGAGAAATTGGCATGAAAAACTTCTTGTAGTCTTATGGGCTTTCCGTACTAGTATGAGTGGTCCGACTGAAGCAACTCCTTACTCTTTGGTCTATGGGAGTGAAGTAGTCTTGCCACTGGAGGTTCAGTTTCCCTTACTCGTTATAGCCATTCCCCATAGCATGAATGAATAGTAACAAACGAAACTTCAATACCAAGAGTTAGATGCCCTCGATGAGAAGAGGCTCAAAGCGCAGCAAAGCCTTGTGCAAAGCCTTGAAGTCTATCAAGGCCAAATGTAGCGAGCCTTCAACAAAGTAATCAAAATTCGCTCATTCACAAATGGAAAACAGGTCGTGGCGGTGAGACGGCCAGTCATAACCCATGGTCACCATAACGGAACGTTTGAACTAAAATCAAGAAAGCCTTCCCCAATGGAGCTTACATACTATCTCACCTTGATGGAGAAGAGGTCATGCTCCCGATCAACGGGTACCGTTTGAAGAAATACTGCCCATAACCCTGGGCTCAAGCCACAAGACCTTAAACTACATGGCACCAGTCCAAACCATATGACCTTAAACTATAGCACAGGTCCTTGTGTTATGATGTTAAACTTCATGACACATGGTTCAGGAGGCATGACCTTAAACACACCCACAATATAATATTAGATTGAGAAAGAAAAAATGGTGTAGCATGCTTTTGCAGGAAGACTTTGCAGGAAGACATTGTGCCCTTATCCCTTCATACACCATTTTCTTGGCCTAAAATTTATAGATGCACTTTAAATAACGAAATGAATATTTTTTGAAAGAAAATAAATTTTGAGTTTTTTTCAAACACTTATATTAGATTGACCAATTATTCTTGTTTTTTTAATAATTATCTGGTGATTCTTGCCTTACCCCCTCAAATATTAAATCCATTTAGGAGTAATTTTTTGATCTAAAATCCATTTTAAAATAATCAAATGAGTATTGTTCAGAAAAAATAGATTATGAGCTTCTATCAATTATACTTGACCACCCCAAAATACTCATTTGCTGAATTTTAAGTGGAACCCAAAATTTCAGTTCCAAAAAATCATCTTAAAAAGCAATTTGAACTTTTATATCTATAATGGCAAGTAGACTTTGAGTGAAAGAAAAAATGGTAATGCGTGCTCCTACAGTGATATAATACTCATTTAGGGGATCCTATAATTTAAATTTAATTTTGTCTATTGACTGGTAATATTACTTGATTTTTTAAACTATTCTAATTATATTTTAGATTTCTAGGAATTTATTTTTTGTTATAAATAAAGCCTCTTTGCAGCAAAGCATGTAATTAGTGAGAAGTTTTATAAAAAGGTATATAAATTCTAGTATCATTAGTCATCCCTAAAATTTAGAGTCTTAAAGGGTACCCGAATTTGTCTTTGACCTGAGGATGCAGAAGCATGGTACATTAATTCATGATTTATTATTATTATTGTCTTCTTCTTCGATGTAATATAGTATAAGGTTATGTAATATATATTAATGGGTAGAGTAGTGATAACAAAAAATGTTAGGTGAAACTGTAATAACATTTAAAATAATAAATATGAGTAATTTTCTCTATAAAATTATGTATTATTGATATTTTGTCAAATATATTCAATATAGATTTATTGTAGATAGATAAACCAGCAAGACCGCTATTTTTTTTTTGTACGGCGATCACTTGTAGCAATGTGTAGGTCAAAAGGTTGGTGGCGCTTTATACATACATACATAAGGATCATGGTACATCATATACAAAGAGACTCCCCTTCATTGTGTAAAATCGCCAAAGAGGGAAGCATTTTACCGAACATAGGACCACACACCATTGGGTCCACTTTCAATAGTTAAGTTAGTGCGCTTTTTTTTTTTTTTTGGGGATGGGGATTCTTTTCGATCTTGTACCCACGGTGCGGTACACTTAACACCAAAAAAATCTCGACAAAGTGAAAAGGGGAATCGATTCGATCATTCAAGTCGGATAGCATTTATCTATGCTAAGATCCTACTTGAGCTACTACTAGTCCGGAACTACCTGACCCTGAACTACTTGAACTGTACGACTTGGGGTTGTCTATTCAAGACCAGCTCTGCTGTTCTCTTTCGCCTGGCGGTGCATCGGGCCCCCTTTCTTTCTATGCACCTCTTATTCAGGCGGGTTTTTAGACCCCTTTTGTTTGTCAGTGGGTGGGGAGAGGGAGGGCACGTATCCTTTGTAAGAATTGAGCCTAGGATGTAGGTTTACAAATCATCAAGCGCTAACCAATTTAGCCGATTTTATTAGTATCCATATCGATTGGAAAAACAAAACAACCACAAATTTATTGTCATGATCGTGCATTATACCACCAAAACTATCTCATCCTGGATTATCCAAAGAAGCCCCATCCTTGTTAAACTTGAAAAAATCCAATAGCTCTTTCTTCAGGTCTAAAGCGCCATTGGATTTTTCCAGATCTAGATCCATGTGAAACCCAATAAGGTCCGATATGACCCAACCATTGCCACCCCTAGGTTCATACATTGTGCAAACCAAACCAGTGTGGGAAATGCATCATTAGCCGTCTGTTGGCAAGAATGCCTTGCTGAGAGAAGTAGGTAATTTTATGTCTTTACATTACAAGTGCGATGTTCCTCTTGATAGCTTTCCAAAACGTTCTTAAAAGCTAGGAAAAAAGGGTGAAACTCACATTTTCTATGTGATAGAAGTCCATTTCAACATATAACTCTTTATGCCGACAAAAAAATGGAACCCACTCTTCACATTTTCTATGTGATAGAAGTACATGAAAAATGTGAATGTTTAAGTGGACTGGATATAAACAAGTACATATCATGCCCAAATCAAGGTAAAGGAGATGTCACATACAAATCACATGAAAATTTAGAGTTTAAACCAAGTTTAAGACATTCATGGAGGAAAATAGAATATGGTGGATTCTAGACCGTCCATCGAAATAAGGCCATCGCTATTTACCACGTGGATTTCGAGATCTTTTATGGTGGATATAGAAAAAGGGTGTGGTTTTTTTGTAAGGCGGACGCTCTAATCAATCAAAGTATTGTGCACATTCAAGTAGTGTTGACACATGTTGTTTCTCTATTTTAAAATGTACTATTCAAATCTACTTTTTTTTTTTTCTAAATTTATACATCTTGAGGTTGGGATGATCGAATAAAGAGTTTTTAAACATCGAAGCAATTTTTTCTAGTGAATTTTTGAAGTGCCGCCTCAATTTGATGGCTTAGGGCCTCGCCTTTCCAATGGTAGAGGTTAAAGGTGTGGGAATTTTCCCTTCCCATGATCATTCACTCATTCATTGAATTCTGCAATCCCTTCCCTCTGCTGCTCTATGGGTACCTCCTTCTCTCTCTCTCTCTCTCCTGACAATTATTTAGAATAGGAGCACTAATCTATTTATCTCCCTCTTTTCTCTCTCATTTCAGATGATTCAAGAAGCTCGTCAAGGTACCTGTCGTCCAAATACTCCAGCACTATTACCTCTTTTTCACAATTGCTCTCCCCTCTTTTGTTACCTCTTTCTCTGTCTACCCCACCTCCAATACGAGGCGAACATGAAGACGACGATGACAGAGAAGAAGAGCGAACATAGCGACCTGGAATCTCATGTGGGAAGTTGAGAATCGCCAGAGAACCCCTCATAGCGTAGGCTGCACGATCGTATGCTCGGGCAGCCTCTTCAGCAGTGTAGAAAGTCCCGAGCCACACCCTCGCCCCTTGCCTCGTCGAATCTCGAATCTCGGCCGCATATTTCCCCCACGGACGTCTCCTAACACCTCGATACCGCGCTCCTTCCTCCTCTTTCCCTCCCTTCTCTTCCCCTCCCTTCTCTTCACTCTTTCCCTCTCTTGGTGACATACTGTGCCTGCTTTTTTGGGTTAGAATGTTGAATGGCAACTTGTACCCATGGTTGTGTGGGCTTTTAAGAAGGGGTTGTTGGTTAAAAGAAATTAAATACATATTTGGCACGATGAGATGGACGGTTGGGATTTAACATGATCTATTTAGACCATGTGCTTTGGAGCCAAGTTCAATGGCACTAGATGATGAGAGTCAAGAGTGGGGTTTGGGTTCTTTGTACTAAGATGGCACATGATGGCTTTTGATGGGGAATTCTTTTTCTAGGTGTAGTTTCTGTAAGGCCTAGGCTCTATAAAAACACAGTAAAGCCTCACATCGAATCCGAGAGTAATTTCAGCATCGGAAATATCTATGGTAACTCTAAAATCAACTTTCAACCATGACTATCAAATTTGAAGGTAAAAAACTAATACAGATATTGCATATTCGTGAACACTTATTTTTAAGGTTTGACATCTTAATTTTCTTCCATAACCATAATGGACAAGGCCGAGATGATCGATTATAAGATTTTTCGACACTAAAACTGCCTTTTTCAGTAAGTTTTGAGGTGAGGTTTTACTTGTTTTGATAGGTCTGCAGCCCTATCCAAACATTTTTCCAATTTTGTCTTTTATGGTGTGTTATATTTGTACTTCAGTGGTCAAAACGATGGCTCTTGATGATGGAACAAGAATCTTATGATGCATTAACTTTGTTTGGTTTTGTTTAGACCTCGTGCTGTTTTGGAATGGATTTCTCCAATTTGTTTCAGTTTTCAATCTTGTGACATGAATTAATTATTCTTTCCTTCTCTATTTTTCTCATGGTGCAAAATAGACATCCATAGGATAATGGAAATAATAGAGAGGAAAACAAAATGAAAAGACAAATGAAGAAAGAGTTGTGTAAGGTTAGGAGATTGAGAAAAGGTGAGAAAAACAATAGATGGCAAGAAACATTTAAATGAAAAGGTGGGCACCTTATACTATACAAGTTAGGGTTACCTCTAAATTTTGTCGGAAGCCTTGCAATGATTTTAAAATCTATGTTCAATCTGAATTACAAATTTTAAAAGTTTAAAAACAGTGCAGATTGAGCATATTTATAAGTACTTCAAAGTCTTTAAAATATACAGTTCAAAGATAACTTGTAAAGATGAACAATATTTTGGACTTGAAATCCCTTGTTGTTTTTTTTTCATTTTTTTCATTTTTTCTTTGTACCGTACGTATCGACGTTGATATGATCAATGGGAAGGTTTTTCAACATCAAAGCGCACTTTTCTACTGGATTTTTGAGGTTCACCTTACTTCTATAGTGTAAGACTGCAACTTTATATAAATTACATAATAAGTCCATCTTATTTACTTAGTAGTAAAAGCTAAGAAAAAAATAGAAGGGATGTCATCAAAATACAACTAAAAAACATCAAACTACTGAAAATTTTATCACTTCTTTATAAACCACCTAAGATTTCATGATTGTGGATAAATAAAAGAAGAGTGAGATATTAAATTGTTTGTCTTAATTTTTGATAAATTTTCCAAAATAGATTCACAATGTAATAGGCAACATTGCAAGTGTAAAAATAGTGAGGAAGTAAAATGGTAGAACGTGTGAGAGAAAGGAAAATCGCATTGGATCGAATAATAAGAAGTCATATATATTTTTTTAAGGAAAAAGTTTATAAAGGTTGTAACCTTAAAATGTAGAATTACAGATGCACCTCAAAAACCCATCGAAAAAGGTTGTTTTAATGTTGAAAAACCCTCAAATTGATCATCTCGACATCGAGATGTATGAATATAAAAAAAAAATAAAAAAAAAGGTTTTTGAGTCTTTGAAATAGTGCATCTTGCAACACATGATCTATACCATCTATTATCAAGATTTTCATATGTTTATAGATCTACCTGATTTTAATCATTTTTGGAGTTTAAAGCTCTATAATTAGATATGAAAATAGATTTTAAGATAATATTAATAATTTTTATACCAAAATTACGTGTTGTGATAAAATTTAGAGGTGCACCTTAATTGGATTGTTTAAGGTTGCAACCTTATCGAAATCACACCTTATTTTTAAAGAAAATGATTTTATAGAGCCGATGCTCTAAACAATAAAATTAGAGCACACCTCAAAACCATTAGTGGAAGAGGTTGTTTTGATATCCAAATATCCTCAAATGGATCATCTCGACATCAAGATGTTTGGACAAGAGAAAAATGGATTTCATGTTCTGGAAACAGTGCATTTTTAACACATTTTTGAACCATCATATTTCAAGATTTTCAAGTTTTCATAGATGTGCTTGATATACACTATTTTTTAAGCTTTAAATTTTATAATTAAAAATGAAAATATATTTTAAGGCTATCACAAAGATTTCTAATATTAAAACCACATTTCTCAACACTTTTTGAAGGTACGCTTTACTTTGATTGTTTGGAGCCTAGATCTATACAAACCACAACCTTTTTTTAATGGATGAAGTTTCTATAAGACTTATGCTTTATGAAAACGAAACAAAGCATCACCTCAAATCCTCGTCCAGAAGCATTTTTGGCATCGAAAATCTCTATGATGGCTCTAAAATTAATTTTCAATTCCGAGAACAAAATTCAAAATTGAAAAAATGATATAGATCTGGCAGATCTGTGAACACTTGATTTTAGGTCGAAATGGACAACCTAAATAATTTCTTGCAAATTTACATTGTTTTTACAACTTAAAATCCTAAATTTTTTTCACAATCATAATGTTGAAGCCGACATGATCAATTTAGTGGTTTTCGAACACTGGATTTATAATTTACAACGAGTTATGAGGTGAAGCTTTACTTATTTTGATGAGGAATCATTTTCCTTTTTTAATTTGCAACTTAATTTGAAGGGCAACCACAATTATGCTAGCCGACATGATCGATTTAGAGGTTTTCGAACACTGGATTTATAATTTACAACGAGTTATGAGGTGAAACTTTACTTATTTTGATAAGGAATCATTTTCCTTTTTTAATTTGCAACTTAATTTGAAGGGCAACCACAATTATGCTAGCAACGAGTGTTAATTTTGGACCTCATATTATCGAATATATTTTATTCATACGTCATTGGTATGACGACGGTTCACGACAGCTCCTCTTGTATTCATTTATGACGTTGAGATGTTTTCCCAAATGAAAAAAATGACGTTTGTGGCCATTTTTTTTTTTGGGTAATTATTTGTTTTTGGATAATTAAGTTTGTGGCCTCTAATGCCTTCTTTGCTCCCATGGTCCCACCACGTACGACTCTAACGATGTCGTAGTCAATATTTATGAAAATAAAGGGTTTTATCCTTCTCTAAAGTTAATGAGACCATTTAACTTTGATATAATTATAACCAATTAACACAAAATCTCTATTGGTTAAGTGAGTCCGAAAAAATTTATTTTACAATTGAAGTTTAATCAATGAAATAAATGCAGCCATCCGATTTTACATTTAATGATAAGTATTAATTGTGACTACCTTGTACTAAAGGTAAATGATCTCATTTTATACTTTTTCATTAAATAAATATCTTGAAGAATTGATTAAGGACCTTTAATAAAGTTATTTCAATATTGGAAATCATTGTGATAACCTTAAAATATATTTTCATATTAGAACCTAGGCTCTAAACAATCAAATTAGAGCCTACCTTCTCATAGTGTCGAGAAATGTTATTTCAACATTGAAAATCTTTGTGATAGCCTTAAAATATATTTTCATCTTTATTTATAAAATTTAAAACTTCAAAAATAGAATAGATCAAGAGATCTATGAAAACTTAAAAATCTTGAAATTGATGGTAAAAAAATGTGTTACAAAATACACTATTTCCAAAATTTGAAATCCAATTTTTCTCATGTTCATACATCTTGATGCCGAGATGATCAATTTGAGGATATTTGGGCATCAAAACAACCTCTCCTAGTGAAAGTTTTGAGGTAGGCTCCAATTTGATGGTTTAGAGCCGAGGCTACATCAAAAAT